AGAGAGTGGGTTCCCCCCTTCCTCGGCGCGGCCGCGTGGCATTTTTGTGCGGTCCGCGCCGGGTCTCCAGTTCAGTATATAAAGTCGGGATTTTCAGTTATTTTTTCACTTTTTCAAAACCCAAAACATAAAAGGCGATTTTCCAAACGATTCTACTTCTCAAAACGATTGGTAAGTGATTTTTAACTTATTTTCTTTACTCCTTAACATCTTTAAACATAATTTCAACTTCAAAACAGAGATTTTAATGGGGGAATTTGGGAATTTAGGGTAGAACTAGGGTTCCTAAATTTGAGGGTTTTGGACCTCAATTTGAGGTTCGATTCCAAAATAACTTATGTATTTGAGTTCATGGGGGAATGGGTAATCGGGTTTTGGTTCGAACCTCGGGTTTTGACCACGTGGGCCCGGGGGCATTTTGGGAATTTTTGAACAAACTTGGGAAATTCACTTTTCATGCATTCAAATTTATTAGATTAGCCTTTGTTGATATACTCAAGTAATTTGTGACTAGATTCGAGCGGTTTGGTGGTGAATTCGAAGGGTAAATCGATACTAGAGGCTTGAGTTGAGTTTGGAGCATTTGAGGTAAGTGTTTGATCTAACTTTGGCTTGAAGGAATAGGATTAGAGTGTTATTATTTGCTAATTGCTAAATGATCGAGTACGGTGTATAGGCATGGTGACGAGTATCTATACACCGGTGTCTAGCATGACCGTGGGTCCTTGTATGTACTTATCCTAATATTGTTATGACTCTTCCATGTTAATTGATGAATTCTATGCAGTGTGAAGAGTATGAGGACTAATTATGAATTGTAAATTCTTTGGAGCGTTGGCTCGAACGATAAAAAGACTATTGAGTAAGAAATGAAAGGAATAGGAAGTGATGTGATTAATCCCTTGCCGGGATGGTTTGAGTATATTGATTATCTCCCTTGCCGGGACATTTCTTATTATTTGTTTATCCCCTCGCCCCGTTTGGTTGTGATTACTGTTTGGGTGAGGAAGAGTGATAATGCACGAAGGGTCATTCCGTGCCATGTTTTGATTATATTTGCACGAAGGGTCATTCCGTGCCATGTTTTGATTATATATGCACGAAGGGTCATTCCGTGCCATGTTTTGATTATATTTGCACGAAGGGTCATTCTGTGCCATGTTTTGATCATATTTGCACGAAGGGACATTCCGTGCTCTGATTTGATTATAATTGCACGAAGGACCATTCCGTGCCATGATATGAGAGTTATGTGAGGGAAAGCACGAAGGGTGATGCCGTGCACATTACTTGATTGCTTTTGGTGAGAATGAGAGTAAAAGCACGAAGGTTGATGCCGTGCAACTATTGATTTTCTGCTCTCATTAATTATTGTTATTGCCCTGTTTCTTACTTAAATTGTTGACTTTATATCCGGACTGTACTCCCCCATAGTATGCTTCCCTCCTCTTAACTGTTTAATTTCTGTATTCTTCCCTTTTATTGCATATATATATATATATATATATTGAATTGCACAGGTTGGTTTGGTAGTCCTGTCTAGCCTCGTCACTATTTCGCCGGGGTTAGGCCAGGCACTTACCAGCACATGGGGTCGGTTGTGCTGATACTACACTTCTGTGCTCTTTTACACAGATCACGGTACTGGAGCAGCTTTTGGACCATAGTAGTAGGATATCGATCGGGAGTAGTCTTCAGTTCGGGGACTTACGAGGTAGCCTAGCTGGCGTTCGCAGGCCGGAGTCCCTTTCTATGTTTCAGTTTGTTTCCATTGTACCGAGACAGACATTTATGTATTTCTATTCAGACTTGTTTGTAGCACTCTTTAGTAGTTCGTGAGATAGCGACTCCAGTCTTGGGTAGTGAAATATTAGACTTCCGCATTTTGGGTTTTCAGTTATTTACGTTTTAAAAGACTTCCGCATTTATTTAAAGACTCGTCATTTTATTATTGTTATGTTGTTATCCGAAAATGTTTAAATGTTTGGCTTGCCTAGCTCCAACAGTAGGCGCCATCACGACTCCCGATGGTGGGAAATCCGGGTCGTGACATGCAACGTGGTACTATCTTGTCTTCGAGTCTCATTTGTGTGAGGACTCGAGGGTGGATAATACACATGCCGCTTCCGTCGTCTACCATTATTCTTTTCACATCAGTGTCTGAAATACGTCAAATAATAACAAGAGCATCGAAATATGGGAAAATCAAACCGTCGGTATCTGACTTGTCGAAGATGATACTGTCTCCGAGGTCGTCGTACTATTCGTGGGTGATCGACCGCTTCAATTTGTGTGTGGTGGTGAACTTCACATGGTTGATTGTTGCTTCATCACCCCCACGATCATTTGGATGGTACGAGCGGGGGAGGGTGTCTTGGGAGGGCCCTGCTGTTGTTCACGTCCCATGCCGAAGTTGACTCGTCCACGGTCGCTCATCATTTCCCTTAGGTGCCCTTGGTTCAGCATGTTTACTACCTCTTGCCATAGAGCTATCCAATCCTCGGTTTTGTGACCTCGCTCCTGGTGAAATTCACAGAGGACGTTTGACTTTCAGGTACTTGGTTCAGACTTCATCTTTTGTTGCCATTTTACCTTTATGCCAAGCTTTTCTAGTGCGTACACTACTTCTGAAGGGGAAACACAAAAATTGTGAGCAGATAAGAGTGGAGGCATACCTCTTTAGTTTCGTTGAGTCCCTGTATGTGGCCTGGACGACCCTTTTATATGTCGGGGAGACGGTGGGACGATTGTTCTGACGTAAGGTTGATGTCTTCCTCTGTTGAGACGGGGGCCCGATTGATCTCTTCGACCGTTGTTACGACGATCTTTTCTCGACTCCGTTTGAACCAATGTCAATCGTTAGGTCGGACTGTTAAGGTCGTCCTCCTCGGCTCTCACCTTGGCGCAGTAGGCATTGTGGATTTCTTCCCAAGTGGTGGGAGGGTATTTCATGAGCCTACTTAATAACTTTCTGGTTGCTCTCGACCCGTTCCTGTTCAACCTGTTCTGGAAAGCTGCTATCACCATCCCTTCTGATACATTTGGCAGGCTCATTCTCACCCTGCTAAATCGGGCGAGGAAGTCCCTGAGTCCCTTGCCAGGTGATTGCCTAACGACGAATATATCATTTACCCTGGCCACCGCCTTTTTAGCCCCCGCATGGGCGGTGACGAACTTGTCGGCCATTTCCTCGAACGTTGCTGTTGACCGCGCCGGCAATTATGAATACCAGGTTAAGGCTCCCCCCATTAAGGTTTCGCCAAACTTTTTCAGTAACACTGATGGTACTTGCTCCTTTGAAAGGTCGTTGCCCTTCACTGTTGTGACGTAATGGATGATGTGATCTTCGGAGTTTGTAGTACCGTCGTATATCTTCAGGTATGGTGGAATTTTGAAGGTTTTGGGAATGACGTCAGGAGCCGCTTCCTCACTGTACAGTTGTTCAACGAACCGACCAACGTCTCGTTTTGGCAACAATGTTGGGGCACCTGGTATCTTATCGACCTTTTCTTGATGCTCCCTCATCTGGTCGCGGAGTGTCTTGTTTTCGTTTTCCATTTCTTCCATTTTCTTCAGAATGGCTGTCAACGCATCATTGCCTACATCAACAGTGGTGTAAGTGTTACCTGTTTGGGGGGCGGACTGTTCGCTGGTGATCGTTGTGATATCTGCTTCCGCGATGTTTCTATTCTCCCTTTGAACGGGTTTGTCGGGTATGTTGTTCAGAGTACTCGTCAGCCATTCTTCCAATAATTTTCTTACTGCTAGTGGTGTTTCCTCGGTCGTGGACGTTGACACTCCTTTCCCGCGTGAAGCGGTTACGCTTTCATGAGTGGGAGGTGAGTCACTCCGCCTGAGCGTAGCGTTTGGTGTCACAGTCTCGTTGTCTCCCATGTCATCCTCGTTGATGGTGTTCAAAATGTTGGTAGTGACACCTGCTATGGCTTTCTGCCTTGCCTCTCCTTTTCCTGCCATCGTTAGTTTGTACAAGCAAAGAAGAGATGGCTGTATTTTTGTGATCTAGAAGGAACTAAATTTCAACTAAAATCTCCCCACAGACGGCGCAAAATTGTTTAAGCAAATAATAGCTAAACCAACTAATGATGAATTAAAGGGGTGAATCTTAGTTGAACTTAATAACTTCTAGACCGGATAAAATAAAAGATTTATGAAACGAGTAGTGTTCAGATGCATCAAATAACAGACTCGATATACTATGATTGACAATAAATATGATGGTATAAATATGCAATAAATGTAAGCAATGGCAATAAATGTGATGAAAAGGGATTTGTCACCCAACTATCATATGATTGGGATGTCCCTTTTCTCTGTCTGCGACGTGGAAAAGTATGAAGTTGGGATGGATATGGAATCTCTAGATTTATGGATCAAGATGGAACAACGTGTGCTTCAATAATATTACCAACAAATAAGACAACTTTTGGATATTCTCTTTTGTCAACTCTTACAATGTGTTTTTTTTCAAAGTCCCCTATCTCTTACTATTTATAAGTGACATTCCCAAAAAAAATCCTAGAAAGTACAGCATAAAGAATATCCAAAGGAATATTCTTTATGTCCACTTCTGAACTTATGCTACCGTTACTTTCTCATCTCGGCTGCCCGCTTTTGGCATCAGCCTTTGTGAGAACAACCTCAATCCCGTCTTTTATCTTGCGTGTCCGTTATCGTGGTCACCAAATTTGGACCTCTACACACTTGCTAGTACGAACTACCTTTTTTACCCTCTATAACCATCAGCAATTTATGTGATAGGATGAATGAGGTACCTCCTCCTTTAAATCAAATACTGTATTGATTATAATGAATATATTTATATATCAAACAATGTATTAGTGTAATAGAAAAAAAAAAATTTAAAAAGAAGAAAAAAAAAGAAAATTTTTCTCAAAATTTGTGAGCAACCGTTTTGTCGGGTAGCGCACATTATAAAGGGCTTAAGGCGGGAAAAAGTTTTTTTCTCCAGTACTCTCTGCCTCTCTCTCACACGCGCTTACATTCGCTAATCGCTCTCTAAAAATCTCAGGAAGCTTCTTAGGGTTTCTGATTAACCTCGCAATGGCGGACTCCACAGAGACGGAGGCGATAAGAGTAATCTCCCGAATTGGGAAACAATTGGGTGCATACAAAACTTGCCCCAATAAAGATACTCTAGTGAACTTATTAAAAGTAAGACCTTACTCTCAATTACCTTTGCTCGTTTCTCCAATTTTTGGACATATTTTATTAATATTCTTTACCTGTTAATCTGTTATTTCTAACACTAATATATTTTAATTTCTTAGTAATTTATCATTTGATGCTCTAATTCTCACATGCCTTGCCCTTGCGACTGAAGATATTATAAGTTTTTCCACTCTAGTATTTATCAAAGGCTCTTTTTCTTTTCTTTTCAAATCTGTTATTGCTTTTTGTGTTGGCAATTTTTGCTCTTTTTTCACTACGTTCTCTTCATTATTGGAGCTTAGTAAGTTTGTTAAGGATATTTTTTTTGACATAGAAATCTATCATCTGCACTGTATGTTTTTTTTCTTTCTTTTTGCTATTTATAGCCTGTTAAGCCAAGCTTCTAAAATCAGCTTCTTATTTTGAGAAGTGTTTTTCTCAAAAGTGTTTGAATACTTAATTTGAAAAACATTGTTGAGCATCAATTAGTGTTTGATGCTTCTCAAAAACTGCTTCTGCTTCTACTCAATAACATTTTGTTTTTCTTTTTAAAAGCTTGGCCAAACAACTCAACTTTGTAAAAAAGCACTTTTGGCCTAAAAGAAGCTTGACCAAACATGCTATTAGTTCTTGTATTTTTAAATGATATCATCTAGTATGAAGGAACATACCTATAATTCATTTCTCAACTAGTACTAGCGAGGGCTCACATTCTGTGGTGGAAGCAAAGGCAACTGTAAATGGAGTACAGAGTCTGATGTGCTTTTGGGCTCTTTAGAAATCTGTATATACTTTCTTGGGCTAAGAAAATGCGACACCTTCGTGGTGCATCTGTAAATAAAATACTTATAAAAGGAAAAGAATAATAAGTATTGTTACCCCAAGAGTGTTGGCTCAATGCTAAGGGTGCAATGTGGAATGTGACTGTAAGGCACAAGTCATGATTTGGACCTTGCTGCTGCAATGCTTTGTATTTAAGTGTGAGCAGGGTGAAGGCATACTTGCCTGAGTTTCGAACACGTTGCCAACTGGGGTTGGGCCAGCTAACTCATAGGGAATTTTTTGGTTATAATAAAAGTATGATTGTTAGCATCTGGATGAAGTTTTCTTTGCTTTTGAGAATTACTGTGCTTTTTCTTCTCAGATGCCATTTTACTCTCTAGTTCTTTGCATGACATGAGCTGTTTCTGCTGCAGCAAGCCAATCGTGCTTTTGCAGGATTAAAGCAGTCCGAATCACTGAAGTCTGTCATTAAACCCTTGAGCAGTTCTCTTGTTAAACATAGTTTACTTCTTCACAAGGACAAAGATATCAGACTTCTGGTTGGCATCTGCTTCTGCGAAATTATCCGTGTCTTGGCACCAGACCCCGAATTTACTGATGCAGTTTCTAGGGTAAAGTCTGATTTTGTTCAATTGTTTCTGTTATATGGTCCCCTCCGTGCTACTTTTTTCTTTATCCTCTCCCTTTTAGCTATAGTCCGTAATACTGTCAATACAATTGCTGACTTTCAAATTTTAACAGGATATATTTAGACTTCTCGTCAATATCTTCGCAGAGCTTGACGATACCAAGAATCCTTACTTCAGCATGAGGGTACAGCTGTTAGAGACTGTTGCAAAACTGAGGTTTTGTTTGATAATGCTAGATATCGGCTGTGAAGATTTGGTTAAAAAATTGTTCAAAAACTTTTTTGCTGTCTTGAGGTGAAATTCTTTATATCTGTATTATTAGTCCTTTTTCCTGATTGATTCTGAGGGTTTTGATGCCCCCTCCCCTTTGCTCATCTTTTAAACTCCTTGATTTGTCTAGTAGTTGAAATGCTTTGAGAAACAGCGCATGAAGAAAACCGGTTAAAATAAAAGTGGCTGCGGATGAATATATCTGATGCTAGGAATTTCACCGAAGTCAGGAAATCTCCGGATGCTAAATTGAATTTACATAATTGTTTACCATGTCACGTTCTCATGCTTAATTTTATAGTTCAAATTTCCTGCGGTTTACATGGGCACATCTCTTGAAGGTTAGTTTTACTATCTGATGGTGCTAACTTTTTCATTGTAGGGAACATCACCCTCCAAGTATGGTTTTTGCAGTAGTATCGATAATGTCACAAATTTTGGAGGAGAAGATGAAGGAGAAAATGCAAGAGAAAGAGAGGAGCAGTTCTGAGCTGCTCACTTTTGAAAAAAAAGTTTCTGAGCCCCTTTTGGATGTGGTTTTGCAGAACCTATTGAAAGAAGCAAAGGTAGATATGATGATCTATAACTTAATAAGATCCAAAGCTAAAAGTGGTTGCTGCATTAGCAGTTTCAGGAGTACTTTCAGCTTTGTTTTGAGAGAGATGAAAAACTTTCTTTCTTTTATCCCTGTAAAACAGAAATTTTGATCTTCTTTTTGTCCCTTCTCCAAGATGAAATTAGCAGAAGTACCTAGTGCTGTAATCTCTACTCAATGATTTTGTCTTGAAGCAACAAACCAAGTTTTATTTGGTGTCACCTTCTCACTGTAGAACAGTTGGAGGAGGGGTAGGGTGGTAGCTGAAGCTTTGAAAGAGGATGTTCTATTTTCTGTATCTTCCTTTCTGAACTTATAAAACTTTAATTAAGGACTTAAGTACTCCTAAGTCTTCAGATTTGCTCTGCTTCCATTATTATTTTTTTTCCCTTTCTGTTTCTTTTCTCTAGCTAATTTCTTATTCAATTATATATTTTCCATTTCTAAATCAATTTTTGTCACCTATTAAGAGCAAATGAAATTTTATTTAATTCTTATAGACCTTTTTTCTAAATTAAAATGAATGGTTTCTGATGTTTTGTCCTACAGCAGTGTACAGTTTCTGATACAGAACGTCTTATACCTCTACATAAGTTCATGGATCAATTTTTACACTCTTCTTATCTAAATAAACCAAGAAAGTAATCTCTTGCCCTGAAGTGGCACTTGTGATGAAGCTATTCATTCACCAACAAACACGCACACAATATATATATATATATATATATATATATATATATATATATATATCTCTGTGTGTGTGTGTGTGTGTGTAACCCCTAGGGCTTGATCTAATGTATGGGTTAGGCGCACGTCACTGGTTAGGTAGTGGAGTGGGCCCATTATCCAACGAGTTCCGAATCATGTGTCACTGGCCCCCGCTCGGGATTTCTCAGTTATCATATACATATGCATATATATATATACTCAGTTATCATATATATATATATATATATATATATATATACATATTCCTCTGTTTTAATTTATGTGAACCTATTTTCTTTTTAGTTCGTGCCAAAAAAAAATGACCCCTTCCATATTTGAAAACAATTTACCTTTATGCAATGATTTATAGCTAGACTATATATATGTGCCTCATTTTACCCCACAAGTTCAAAAGTTTCTTTTTTTTTACAAAAAATTCCGTGCCTAGTCAAATAGGTTCACATAAATTGAAACGGAGGGAGTATATATTATATGTGTGTGTATGTTTATATATTGAATACATAGTTGTTCATATATGACTCTAGTTCAAAACTATTTTAATTCGATATCTCTGAAGTCAAACTTAATTCAATTGGCAAAGACGGTTTTAAGAAAAATGAAAAACAATTGTTTGTAGACCGGGGTGTTGTGGCTGTTCATTTCTTACAATTGAGTGTCTGTGACCTAGCTTCATGTTTGTGAGCTTGCTCATATTGCCTGTCCTAAGCCGAAATACGGGAGTAGGGTCGTGAAAGATAGGGCAGGATGGAAGAAAAAGATCCTTATAGGTGATACCATTTGATTGGGGTTAAGTTTTAGTCACGTTGATACGTTTACTTTATGTCCAATGTTCATTAAGAGTAAGTTTTATTAGAGATTTATATTTCAATAGAAAAAAGTAACTTGTAGTGATAGAGAGCCTAAATTTTAAAATATTGGATTGAGATGGGTTTAATGGAGCTATATGGATAGCAAGGATATGTATGGCTGGCTACTACTAGCTTGGAATTGAGAAAATTGTTATCGTTGTTGTTTGAGTGTTTGTCACCTGCACGGACACTGGTTCTATATCCAAGATGATTAAAGCCCACACCCTTGTACTGTTTTGGATGTCTGGAAATTACTATCCGCCAAGTTATGAGTCTATAGTTGCAGTTCCTCTCCCTTAGGTTCACAGCCAACGAAAAGTTTTTCTTTGTAGATAAATTTTTTGCATAAAGTTTCTGCTGCTGTCTTAGAAGTTATGGCTTTTAATCTCTATTTTTTTCTTTTTGGTTGCATTAGTGATGATATGGATCCTGATATGCTTTAGATTAGTATACATTTCCTTGGGGCTAATGGAGACTTGTCATTTGCTCAACTCTTTCCTCTGGGTGTTTGGGGAGAAGTGAAAAAGACATCTTCCTTTTGTCCCAGAATACCTATTTATTTGAATGTAGAAAGTTGTAATACATGTTTTGACTGTGGAGCAGGGCTAGTGTGTTTTGTTAAGTAGATGTGGTGCAAAGGATGAAAACACGGGTTGGAGGATTCATCAACGTATGAACATTAGTAATGCCCCAAACTGACCATTTAATATTGAATTTATCATCCTTTAATTATGGGTGCAGAATCATCTGTTTAAATCGTACCTTCTGATTGACTCGTCAAAATGCAGGAGTAGTAGTACATGTTATCTGAAGTTGCTCATAGACTTGTTCTTTTAAGCTTACTTCCAGTTATGGCGTGAAAGATTATCTTCTTCCATGTCATGCTAAGTGTTTTTGTCATTGATGGTGGATACATATATATTATATGTTGCAAGTTTATATGTGCAATATAGGAACTTTATATACTTACTAAGTGGTGCTTGTTTGGCTTAGATGAAATTGATTAACCTTTCTCTCTTAGTTTTGCAATTCATTTTTTCCTGTTATGAAGTTGTTGTGTACTTGTCTTTAAAAACTGGAATTATTTTTTAACTTCTGATCCAGGGTGCATCTCGTGCGTCCCACCAGCTTGCTGTCTCTGTCATTGAAAAATGCAGTGAGAAGATCGAAGATATCATTTCAAGGTTTTTAAGGTCTTGCATACTCAACAGAGATGCTGTGCAGAGTGAGATCAAGGAATACTACCATGATATTATATATGAAATCTTCCAGTGTGCTCCTCAAATGCTTCTTTCTGTCATACCTAGCTTGATGCATGAATTATTGGTGTGTGATTCTTCTGCCTTTTAGTCTATTATTGTATGACAGTGTGAGTTGTCCGGTCCGATGAATGCTAAAATAAATTTTGATAGTAATGTCTTCCTCATTTTCTCATATTACTGTTGTTAAAATTCTTCCATTGAAGTTGGTTATTTTGCCCACTCTATATTGCTCAAACTAGAAATGTAACTCTCTTTGCAGACAGATCAAGTGGATGTTCGGATAAAAGCTCTTGGCTTGATGAAAAGGATCTTTTCCTTGCCTGGAAACCATTTTGCGCAGGATTATCACCAGCTTTTCGTAGAATTCTTAAATAGATCCTGTGATAAGTCTGCTGAAGTGAGACTCATTACACTTTCATGTGCTAAAGCTTTCTACATGACCAATCCATCTGCAAAAGAATCACTTAAAGTTCTTGGTAAGATGTCAAAACTTGAAAGCCTTTTGTTTTAATTTCTTTTTTGTCTTTCAGAATGCCTTAATGTTGGTCTTCTAATTCAGCATTACATCTCATGTTTTAACTCTTGTGAACCGAGAAGCCGCTCTTCAAGATCGACTTTTGGATTCTGATGACAGAGTGAGATCAGAGGCAGTTACTGTGATGTGTGACTTGGCAAGACATAAGCTAAAATCTATTCCCTCTGAACTAATCACACTTGTTGCAGAACGACTGAGAGATAAAAAGGTTATGGTGATTGAACAGCTTCCATAAGATAGAATTGTTTTTTTTTGTGCATTTCTTAAAAAGAACTCTGATTGTGCTTTCTGATATTTGCTTTTTTTTTTGGCCTCTTTTGTCCATCTAAATATATAGGTGTCTGTCAGAAAGAAAGCATTGAAAAAGTTGTTAGAACTGTATCAGGAATATTGCACACAATGTGCTGCTGCAATCATGGATTTCAGTGATCATTTTGAACAGATTCCATGTAAAATTTTGATGCTATGCTATGACAGAGACTGTAAGGAGTTCAAGTATGCCTATTTCATGATGTTACCGTTCTAAATAGATGCATGTTCTAGTTGACGGAGATCTAATTATGATTCATCTGATGCACAGGCCTCAGCGAATGGAGATTGTGCTAGCTGACTCTCTGTTTCCTGGTTCTCTTTCAGTTGAGGATAGAACCAGGCATTGGGTCTTCATGTTCTCACTTTTTACGCCTTGTCATCTGAAGGCTTTGAATGCAATTTTGTCTCAAAAGCTGAGGTACTTTGGTGAAATCTGGATTTCTTTAACTTCTAAGATCTGCTTTGCTTCTTTTGCTTGAATTCATGGGGTGATGTGCTTCCAGGTTGCGAAATGAATTGCAAGTGTACTTAACTCTCTGCAATAAAGACAAGGTATCTCAAATAATTGCCAATTGTTATTCGTTTATGATAAGTCTCTTTGTTCTACACTGTATACGAGAAAATGAATTCATTAAAGCTGAAGCAATAGATGCTTTAATGTTATAATTACTCGATTGTTCGAAATTCCAAATTTCAGATATGAGTACCTCTTTGAACTTTGGAATACCTTTTTTTTTGGCTGAAGCCTTTCTGGTTTAGCCCAGAAGAATGCGATGGCATTAACTACCCTTCTTGTTTCTAATTTCTTGGTAGCTGGTGTTGGCAAGACAGACTGCTGTGTTTTTTATGAAGAAATTCCAATTTGCAGAGAATGGTGGTCCTCCCACATGATTTTCTCACTTCATTTTGTGTAGTAATTTTGCATTGGTTTTCTATCTTTATCCTCCAGGAGGAAGTCTCTGAAGAAGTAGAAAAGAAGATGAAAATGTCCATTGTGAAAATGTCAGCATCTTTTGAGGATACTACCAAAGCACAAGACTGCTTTCATAAACTGGATATGGTGAAAGACGGTCGAATATTTAATCTGTTGGGGAAGTTGTTAAATGAACAGAAAACTGAAGATGCTCAAACAACCAGGGTGAGCTTGTTTCACCTTAAGTTTTACTTTCTTACTGTTTTCACTTTCAACCTGGATATAGAGTGGATTTCTTTTTATCAAAATTTCTACCATGGAGCAAGATGCCTTTAGAGTTTCTAATGAATTCTTGCTCTAGTAATCTCAGGATATTTTTTTAACCTTCCAGTGGCTTTTATATTTTCTTGGATTCAATCCCCCAATAAATTGCATTAAAAGTTTGTGGTGTCTAGAACTGAGAATAACCAGGAAGCAGGGCAAGCGGTTGGGCCTTTTGAGTGGTTTTTCTTGGATGAGCTTGATTTTCAAGGAGCCCTAAGTGGCTCAACAAACTGAAAATTGTGATTTAACGAGAGGAAAAAAAGCTAAACAGGCCAAGGAGGGTGCCTGGAGTAAAGAGAGTAGACTAATGTTAATGACCTTAATGTATCAAATAGCAATGGAAAAAATGATTCCAAGGCTTAACAGACTGAAATGTGGGCTTGGAGTAGAACGAGAATGCTTAACAAAATAATGAGTGTGATTGGATCTCTGGTTTTGGTCAGTATAAGGAAGAAGGTTTTCTGGAGAGAAGCTTGAAAACATTTCAGGATAGGTGTATGCCTAAGCTTATGTGTGAAAAAGACCAACCTTTTGGTTTCTTTGAGGTTTCAGGCTATAAGCTTGTAAAGTGGCAACAGCCTTGCTAGAACTTCAAAGTGATTTCCTTTTTATGAGTAACTGTTGCATATTTGATTTGAAGACTTTTTTTTCTTCCCATTCTACATTTACCTATTTTGAGAAAATTTTCTTGCCTTAAACTAATCAAAGATAACAGTTTACATTAGCCCTGGTGGTGGGTGCTGGTGTGGAGGCACTGAAACTGAGTGTATTTGACAAGCTTATGGATGAGAGGATCTAGTTGTCTAAAGTTAGTTCTCTAAAGTTAAATATTTATGTTATATGCATTTCCGATGTCGAGTAAATTTGTTAATGCATTTGAATTAGTTCGACTCTTTAATGAGTCAAAGAGGACTTCCAATTGGGTTAGAGAGGAGTTTACTTCATGTTTTAAGTAAGAAGCAGAGTGTTTTGTGTGGTCATTCCCCATAATATATCTGCCTTTTGTAACTCTTTGGTTCCGTCTGGACTATATGCACACCTGATTTGGCATAAGGCAGCGATTTTGGGGCACATACAAGTTCATGATAACATGGTAGTGCAATTTTTTTGTTGATTAGTCTAATTTTCCCTCCTTTTATATTATTTTCTTCTTTAGATTTGAGTTATTGCACCATTATCAATTCCTTGACATATTTAATGCACAACTTGTCGTCCCTTTGCATTATCCAGGATAATCTTTTGAGAGAGATTGGGGACAAGAATCCGCATGCGGAGTTTCTTCAATTACTTTCTATGAAATGCTCACTCAATCTGTTTGGTTCAGAGCATGTGCGCTGTATTTTAAGTCATCTTTCAGATGACAGATTTGGAAATAAGCATTTGGAGGACTCTTCTATTCAACTCCTCTTGGTAAGAGAAATTACTTTAAAAGAAAGAATCTTGAAATTGGTGGATATTAATTATTAGCAGATTTTTTTCTATTATCATCTTTTGTGCTCCTCACACCAAATATTCCTTAGGAACTTTGGGTAGTAGTAGATCGACTGTTTTGCAGATTATGCTTATAATAGTCCAAAAATTGCACTCTAGTCTTTTTTTCCTCTCTTCCTTTTCTGACAGTCAATAGAAATACTGGCATCACTTAATTGAACTAGACTACGAGTCTGAGAAAGTTCTTTTTTGAGTTCCACTGATGGTGACTTTTAGAAAGTTAAACCTAGCTCTCTATTACTGTACTAGTCACTATGTTAAATGAAAAGGGGATCATAGAAAGCTTCAGATTTTCTTGCTATTTGAGCACGACAAATGTGAAAGTCGTCATGCTTAAAAAGCTTACCTTTTGTTAGTTATTTTTCATTGATATTTCACAAAGCCATCTGCTGGCGCAATCACTTCTTTGGCATGAAGTTCTCCAGTTTGATAAAAGGGCTTTAGGAAACTTAAGCTTTACATGCCACCTTGACCCTATTAATCTCTTTCATTTTGTCTGGTAGATTTTTATTCATATAGTATTTGCAGCCGTATTTATTGTATGCTATATTTTTGGCTTTCATATTCATCCCCTTTTTTTGCCAGACTATTCTCAGTGCATTTCCTTCACTCTTGAGAGGTTTGGAGACAGAATTCCAGCTCTTGTTGTCAAAGGAGATTATCCCATTTAATGAACGGCTGATCCAGATTCTTGCAAAAGAAGGATCCCATATGTTAATCAACCTTGGGTAATTTCTTCACGTTCTAGGTTGTGGTTTGTGCATTTTTTTCTATAGAGCGACTGCAGTATGCGGAAGAATGAGTCAAAAGAGACAGAATTAAGCTTCCATTAATTATTTTTTCACATGAATGGGCATATGGTCGGACAAAAAAGTTTACACGGTTAGGTTGGGAGTAGCTTACTCTTTGGTTCGAGCACTGTAGAATTTACTGTATAATGCCCTATATTTAACATTTTCCATTGCGAGACCTACTAATCTTGATGATCTGTGTAATTTGTCTGTTATGAGATTGAGCATTACCTCCCTCGGCATTTGTTCTAGAAATTAGCATCTCTCGGCATTAAATATTTCATTTGGCGATTTAGCAAGAGCATGAACTTAAATTAAATTTTACATGCACTGCTTTTTATTTTAGTGTCATATTCAAGTGTTAGGTTTCTTAAGTTAATCATCTGATTCTTTTTTAAAGTCTGCCCTTTGGTTCTGTTGTCTTTACTATTCCAAGGAGTGGCCCAGATGCTTCACCATGTTAGCATTATTTCTAATCCTAAAGCAATGGAGTCTTTTCTGCTATTAGCTTCAACCTGGGTGAATCCCTCAGACCATCAGTTTAGCTTCTTTTTTCTTCTTTTCTGTATTTCATTTTGTTTGAGTTCTTCTTGGTGCTATGATTTGATAAGACAGGATTGCAGCTTCTTCCTAATATGTATCATAGCAAACAATCTTTACCTTCACATAGGAGGAGGATGTGGGTTTTCTTCTTACTTGGTTGAAAGACCAGATTACACATTCTGTACTTGTTTTTACACAAGTTCTTTGGTGGTTGGCTTCTTCTAGAACTCAACCAAGAAATTGCATGCTTTTACATTCCATTTCCCCTCCTTTTTTTCCCGTGTAGAATGTTTAGTTAGCCTCCCTTTTTTCCCCAGAAAAGTGGAATGTGTTTTTCCTTGTTGCATATGTTATGCTGCGTTACTACTCTCTTTTTGGTTCTGAGTTAGAGCGGTTGTATTTGCAGTGATATATATTCGTTCTTAGAGAAGGTTTGCTTGGAGGGCAGTCGTGTTCAATCTAAATTGGCTATTTCTGCAATTGCTGCATTGATGAGCCCTTCAGAGCAGTCCATTTTATTAGAATTATGCAAGGTGGTGAAATCTCATCTTTTTGCTATAGTGATGTAAAATGTCTGTTCCTTTTAGAATTTTCTCAGGAGTTTGCATGATCTTTTTTTCGTTTTAACTATTGCAATCCAATGGGATCTGACTATAAGCTTCTACTATCACTGCCATTAGCAAGCAAATCAAATTGAAAAAATTAATAGTACTTCACTTAATTGTTTTGTCTTTGCTTCCTGTCAAACAGTTCACCCGAGCAGTTACTGCTCCTACTACTACTGTTGCAACTGTTGTTACTACCATTACTATCACTACCACAACAAGCCAACAACTACTGTTAATAATTAAAATAGTAAAAATGATAATTACATTGTCATAATAATCATCAGATGATCAGAATTCAAAATGATATTGATAATATAAGCATAATTATCATTGTCATCGGCATCATTATCATTATCACCACCAATACTACCACCACCACCACCATAATCATCTCAATCTCTTGGACACCTTGTTGTCATGGTTTTAAGAGGTATGATACAGGTGAGCCTTGAGATGCATTTTTAGCTGGGGGCATCCATAAAATGCCACGGGCTGCATGTAAAACGGCTCGTTTGCTAGGGTACACGCTACCACTTGTTTTAAGCCCAAAGCTTTGTGCAGTTGGTCACTCATACTCTGGGTTTTCTCAAGTGATTCATTCAATGTTACAGAGGCTAAAAATTTTGGCCGTAAATTTTGGCTACTTTTTTTCAATGTTTTTTTTTTTTGCAAACACTGTTTGTTCATAAAATATGACCAATTTTTGAGATTTTTTTTTTCAAGTTCACCAGGGTGAAATTTTTTCTTCGACTCACAAAACCTCAACTTTTTCAAATAAAATGCATGTCCAAACACAACTTCAACTTCCAAATATTATTTTTCAACATAACTTCAAAAACTCTTTTTTCAAATTTCAACCAAATCTATGTCCAAACGCTAGTGAAAAATCAGAATAGAAGATGTGAAGTTTCTGTTGGAAGAGGATGTGCTAATTTTGGTGGTAGTGGCATGAGATAATTATAGTTGAACTTTTTGAGAGATCAATGTTTTTGTTTCATTTTGCATCTAATGCATAGTGTTTTTGGTTTAATGTTTTGACCCCAATAGTTTATAGATTAATACTACATGTCGTCATAAAAAAATTGATGGTACATGTTTTATCGGAGATGCTTTTTGCTATAACTGACTTGAATTATTTGTTCATTTAGCAAAATGGGCTCTGTTTTGACCCCAATAGTTTAGAGTGCCAAATGCTCTCTGGCACATTTTTTGAGGTAGTAAAGAACATCTCTTTTCCGGCGTAATCTAGCCTTTCCGACGTCTTTCTTTTAGAGTCTTTAATTTTAATCATCCTCCAGTGATTAATCTTAAAAACTTTTTAGTTCATTATGGGTGATAATAGGATTTATTTTACAGCCGGGCTCAAATCTTATGACATTACTAAGCTTGAATCAAGAGCAGAAACATGGTTCGAATGGGTGGAAAGGAGCCGTAACTGCATGCGTAGATCAACCTTCAGCAGGAAAATTATGGAATGGTTATGCTTTGTCTTTCAAGAAGCCTCAAAAGATGCTGACACGTTTGTTAGAAAATGGCAACTAAAGGAGCAATACTCTATGTTTTATAGCTCCAGAAAATTCAACAAGTTTGGAAGATTTATTAGCATTGTCACTGTCCAAGGTGACAACAGAACAGTGACCATTATTCCAGAAGTTACATTTAATGCGGGATGGAATGAAATAGCATTCAAAATCAAGAACTTCATTAATGCTAGCAAAAGGCCATTTATTACAAATGGTCCCAAGATGGCAGACCCCAAAATTCCATATGCTTCCTCTGTCAAAGTCAGCAAATGGCAATCAAGGGAGTGCGATGAAGTTCAAGTCACACACGGCCCCAGCAATAGAATATTAATCTCCGAGGGTGAGGTTAACACAGATGAGGGACTGCTGAGCATGAGCAGGTGCATTGTTGGAAGTTTTGACGAAAGCTTGGATGAAAAACCAACTCTTGCCGACATCCGGCGATGGTCAGTGAACACTTGGAAGAAAGCTTTTGGTGTCGATGCATACGAGATGGCCGGGCACAATTTTCTCTTTCAATTCCCCAACAAATACATGGCAGAGCATATCCTCAAAGGGGAATGGAGGTGGAAGCGAGCAAAAATACGGCTGGAATGGTGGTCGCCGACAGTCGACTGCTGCTCAACTAACCAAAAAAGGGATTGGACTTGGATTAGAGCCATGGGTCTCCCAATGCACTTCTGGACCGAGAAAATCTTCAAAGCCATCAGAGACCTCTGTGGAGGATGGCTGGAAACCAAGGAAGAAACTTCCTTAAAGAATCATCTCAAATGGGCAAGGATTAAAATTAGAGGTGATGGGGAGAAAGTACCGAAGGATGTGGTGATTGTTGACAAAGGAATAGAATTCACTATTCCGATCTGGTGTGAATCTACGACGAGGGTGGCTACTGGAGAAGAAGATGTCGTTAGAAGAAGTCTGTGTAATGACCTATGGTCATTAAAACCCTATCAAGAAGTACAAAAGGCGTATAAGGGCATTAATGACAGGGTAGGTCACGTGGGTGCATCTATTAATGTGCCATTTTCAAAATCTGAGAAGGTGTAATGGCCGATGGTGGCTACTGGAGAAGAAGATGTCGTTAGAAGAAGTCTGTGTAATGACCGATGGTCATTAAAACCCTATCAAGAAGTACAAAAGGCGTATAGGGGCATTAATGACAGGGTAGGTCACGTGGGTGCATCTATTAATGTGCCATTTTCAAAATCTTATAAGGTGGATGGGCCAGCTGATTGGGCCCAAAATTTTCTGGCCCAGAAGTCCTCACATCCATCTAAACCCACTATTCAGAAGAGGACCTTTGGCTCCTTTTTAATGAAGAGGCCCAATTTCTTTTTTCGGCCAATCTACTTCATCTCAATGGAATTTAACAAACCCTCTATTCGATGAAATTGAGGGAATTTCTCTCTCTGCTCACAACGGTACTTTCTTCAGAAGCAAAAAAGATCGATGAAAAAGTTCTTCCTCTCTCAATCCAATAGGAGACTGAGCAACAGACACATCATGAAGATGGAGATAATTACGAAGATGCCATGACTAATATTGAGGGCAAGGATTTATTGACGGGGTGGGAGGCAGTAACGACATGCAAGTGGCAGTGCAAATTGAACCTGAAATCTGGGCAATTGAGGATGCTGAACCTCTGAAGATGCAACCGCAAAGTGACGAGTTAGAGGGGGAGATGGAAGCAACCTTATGGGTTCATCAGAATTTAACTTAACTCAACAAACAATTTGGGGTTGATTTCCAGGGATGTGAAGAAGATGCCTTGGCTTTATTCAAGAAGATCGATAGATACAGGCAAGCAAAGAGGCAAGAGACAGAACCAGTAAACACGGTGACTCCCAAAAAGAAAGGCAGCCAGGAGTTAAAGGGACTGATTTTCGACATGAAGTTCAAAAGTTCCGGGCAAGGAATAGGGGGAAAGAGATCTCATTAATTGATCAATGAATGTGAAAATCATTTCATGGAACGTGAGGGGGCTGAATCACAGGAAAAAGAGAAGGGTGATTAGAAGCTTGATACTCAACCGGAAAGCTGATGTATTGTGTTTTCAAGAAACGAAAATTGAAGGGGATATAGAAGGAATTGTCAAAGAAATTTGGGGGGCCAGGGGTATAAAATATGGGCAATTGGAGGTCAGTGGCACTAGAGGTGGTATTCTAATTTTATGGGATAGTAAGGTTTGGAAAGGGAAGGTAGTAACCACGGGTGCTTATTCACTGACTTGCAAATTCGAGTCACTTTTTCAGGACTTTTGGCACATGACAGGAGTTTATGCTCCTAATTGCATCAGAGAAAGAAGGGAAGTGTGGTGGGAAATAGGAGGTACTAGAGGTCTGGTCATAGGACCTTGGGTAGTTGCTGGTGATTTCAACACAACCAGATTTCCCTCTGAGAAGAGGAATGGCAGCAGAATAACCAAATCTATGACTGCGTTTTCTAATTTCATTGAAGACATGGACTTGGTTGATCTTCCATTAGAAGGGGGCATCTATACATGGGCTAGAGAGAACAGTCAGGAGACCACCTCAAAAATTGACAGGATCCTGGTATCGATGGAGTGGAATGAGTATTTCAAAAATATCAAACAAGAAACTCTTCCTAGAGTTTGTTCTAATCACACACCCTTAATGCTACAGTGTGGTAGCTGGGCTTACACCAAATCCTACTTCAAATTTGAAAATTGGTGGCTAGAGACTGAAGGCTTCTCTGACAGAGTCCAAAACTGGTGGACATCCTTCATCTTTGAAGGTAGATAGGACTACATCTTAGCTTGCAAACTAAAGGCCTTGAAAGGCAAACTGAGAGAATGGAGCTTGAATAGCCATGGCAACCTGGAGAGGGGGAAAAATATCATACTGAACCAAATAGCTGAGTTGGATGCTATCCAACAACAGAGGAACCTTAATGAGGAGGAGATGGCCAGGAGAACAAACCTATCCATAGAATTCGAAGAATATGCTACAAAGGAGGAAATTGCCCGGAGACAAAGATCTAGGGCTCTATGGCTCAAACAAGAAGAGAGGAACACCAAGTTCTTCCAAAGAACTGCCAATGCACATAAAAGATTCAACAACATCAGCAAGTTGGAGGTAAATGGGGAGAATATTGAAGAACTAGCTGAGATCAAAAAGGAGATTATCGACTTCTATCAGAAGCTATACTCTAAATCAGAAGTATGGAGGCCAACCTACAATATGAACAATTGCCCGTCTATTTTTGAAGCTGAAGTACAAGCATTGCAAAATGTTTTCGAGGAGAATGAAGTTTTTGAATGCTTAAGGCTTGTGCAATAGACAAAGCTCCGGGACCGAATGGGTACACTATGGGCTTTTTCATCAAATGCTGGGATGTGGTGAAACCAGACATCATGGCTACTATTCAACACTTTCATTCCCAGGAGTTCTTTGAAAAGAGCTTCAATGCCACTTATGTGGCATTGATTCCTAAGAAGGGTGGTGCCAAGGAGTTAAGGGACTTTAGGCCTATCAGCCTCATAGGCCGCATCTATAAACTAATCTCCAAGTTACTCACTGAAAGATTGAAAAGGGTGATGCACAAATTGGTAGACTCACAGCAAATGGCATTTATAAAAGGGAGACAAATCACAGATGTAGTACTGATTGCAAATGAATGTGTTGACTCCAGACTCAAGGAGAAGAAGATGGGAATTATGTGCAAGTTAATAGGCTTTTGACCATGTCAACTGGGAATTTTTGCTAGGAACTCTCCAGAAGATGGGATTTGGTAGGAAATGGGTAACTGGACCAGACTTTGTATAAGCACTGTCAAGTTCTCTATCCTGATCAATGGAGCCCCTCAAGGTTTTTTCCCCTCGGAAAAGGGTTTGAGACAAGGAGACCCCTTATCCCCTTTCCTGTTCATTCTTGCTATGGAAGGGCTTAACAATATGTTAAGAACAACACAGGGCAATGGATGGATTAAAGGTTTCAATGTTGTAAAAAACCAGTTGGATAGATTAGAGGTTACTCACCTCTAATATGCAGATGATACCCTCATTTTCTGTGATGCTGATGTGACCCAAATAAATTATCTAAGAGTGATCCTCATAATCTTCGAAGCCATCTCTGGTCTACATATCAACTGGAGGAAAAGCCAAATATTTCCGGTCAATGAGGTCTCTAATATTCAGCTGCTGGCAGGTATTTTGGGAGGTGAAATTGGTTCTATCCCAACCATTTACTTGGGGATGCCTGAATGTAGTTCTGGAAAAATGTGAGAAAAAGCTAGCAAGATGGAAATCGAACTACATTTCTTTGGGTGGTAGATTGGTCCTCATTAACTCCGTGCTAGATGCCCTCCCCACATATATGATGTCCCTATTTCCTATACCTGCCAAGGTAGAGAAAAGACTTGACACCTTGAGAAGAAACTTCCTCTGGCATGGAAACAAAGAGAAGAAGGGTTTTCACCTAGTCAAATGGAAAACATTGACCCTCAGTAAAAAGAAGGGAGGTTCGGGAGTCAGGAACTTGAAACTGCAGAACAAAAGCCTTTAGATGAAATGGCTCTGGAGGTTTACAAGGGAGGATCAAGCTTTGTGGAGCAAGGTTATAAAGGCTAAATACGGAATGGAAGGATTCTGGATGACTAAGCAGGTAAACAATGCTTATGGCACCAGCTTATGGAGAACTATAAGGAATCTGTGGCCAAACCTTGCTGTCCAACTTTAACTCAAAGTAAGAGATGGAAGGAAAACTCTCTTTTGGGAAGATCACTGGTTAGGTATTGGTTGTCTTATGAACCTTTTCCCTGACATTTATGCTCTGAATCAACAACACAGAGCCACAGTACACCATCTTAGAGGGACAAATGCTTGAAACCTCACCTTCAGAAGATCTTTACATGGTTGGGAGCTGCCAAGAATTACAGATTTTTTCAATACTCTGGAGCTATGCAATGGATTAAAGGAGGGAGATGACACACTTAGATGGTGCCAATACAGCAGCGGGGTGTACACAGTCAACCTATGGCCTTGGAAACACATCTGGAGGGTCAAAATTCCATACAAAGTGGCATGTTTTGTCTGGCTGGTAGCTAGAGAAACAGTTTTAACACATGATAGCTTGAGGAGAAGGGGAATACCAATCTGTTCGAGATGTTACTTATGCGGACAGGAAGTAGAGACAATCAACCATCTGTTTCTACATTGTAGAGTGACTAGTCAGTTGTGGGACTTATTCGTCAACCTCAGAGGCATTAGATGGTCAATGCGAGGAAGAACATCTGAACTATTGTCAAGCTGGAACGAAGGGAGGAAGTGCACTGCCTCCAACAAAGATTAGATGGAAAATTGTCCCTGCAACTATTTGGTGGACAATATGGAAGGAGAGGAACGCAAGATGTTTTGAGGATTCAACTAGTTCTATTCAGATAATTAAGATGAATTGTATCTTTCTTTTTTGTTTTTGGTGTAAAGCAGAATACAGTGTTGACTTAGAGTCAATTCTACAGGTCCTAGACTCCTTGTAAGATGAGCAAGGATTAGAATAGGGAGCTCTGTAGGCTTTTGTAAACTTTTTTTGGCTTCCAGCACAACCTTTGTGCTGAAGATTGATTAATATAAACATACCTGTTACATTGTCAAAATAAAATGGGCTCTGTTATGCTACAATATGCTTTCATATTGGTTTATCCATTATTTTCTCATTGTTTTCTTTTCTCGAGTCAATTTTAATTAAATTTTCTACTTTACCATTTTCACTAGCATATTATTTATTTAAACTTTACCTAGTACTGATGGAAACACTGTAAACTGAAAAATTGTGGTGCTTACACCCCATGCCTTGGGCTCATGCCTTTGTGCTCCCCTTTTACTTGTCATACTTTTTTGTTTGTGTTGTTACTCTGTTCTTTTAAACTCCTGGGATTGATCCTAAGGTTCTATCTCTTCTGCATTTATTATCTTTCTAGAAACTTGTGGATTCTCTGCATGTGGGGAAGCAACTTCCAACAGTTTTGCAGTCTTTGGGCTGTCTGGCACAACATTCTGTTTTAGCATTTCAAGCACATGAAGAGGTGGTGACCCGTTACATCATTGAGGAAATATTTCAACTAACTGATGTGAGTTTCCTTTTCTGACTAGTGACTACTTGTTCCCCCAAAAAATGAAAAAAATTAAAAAGGAACTGATCAAAGGGGAAAGGCATAATAACTGATAGTACTCCTTTGACCTGTTCACTTTGATATCTGTAAATTGTTGTTTCTTTCCCTACTGATGTAGATAAAATTTCTTCCAAGTAGGGGGCCATGTTGGAGGATCCAAATTTGTTAGAAAAGGCTTCTTCTGAATGTAGTGTTTCTTGCCAATTAAAGGTGAGTCTCATTCATCTTATTCGCACTCCTTTTCCTCTTTTGGGTTCTACCAGTCTAAAATCCACTTATTAAACTGAATGTCTTTGAACATTTAAAAGCCATCAACTGCTTGATCTGCACTTGCACCTCTTTTAATATATACATCTCCATTTGGGTTCCATCTTTTAAGAATTCACTTGTAATCGCTCTTCATATTGAATAGTTGTACGTATGGATATGCACTTGAGCTTGTCAGAGGTTAATAACAGATTGTGCCTGACAAATGATATTTATAACTCGCACTTCTACGATGCAACCTACAATTCACATTCCCAAAGTGCAATATATAAATCTCATTCCGAAATGCACCAAAAGTAAGGTAAATGATAATCACTTTAAATAACAAATATATACATCAAAATGTGTCTTGTAATAACAATACGTGTTTCACCAACATATAATCCTTCTTACACTTTCCCTTTATAGAATTTCATCATTCTGATTCTGTGTTTCTTTCTGATTGGTTTTCAAGTTCCTTGATAACATCTCGCATTGCCGGATCATAAACCATGTCAGAAGAGACCCAAGATATTATTAAGACGTCTTTGAGGAATTCAAAGAAAGAGAATTCCCTCAAGAAATTTTTGACGAATTTTTTGGATCAAATAAACTTAGAAAACCATCGAATTTATAGGAAAAAAGGGGAAAGGAAGAGTGCCGGAGATCTATTAAAAAGAATGGGGAAGGAAAGAGAATGACATGGAGTGTTCAACTAAAGCTTCAATACGATGTTTTTACTCTTCATGCACCAGATTTGTTGGGAAAAAACGCACTTGCAATGCGGTAAAATAGCAGGTTACTTGCTGTGGATGTGGATATATAAGGTGTGTAAGAGGTTGCTCCCAAAGAAAAGGTGGAAAAGGGATATTTTGTGCAAGTTGAGTGGGGGATGTGTTTCTTTTGTTCTACAACAACAACAACAACAAAAAACCTAGTGTAATCCCACAAGTGGGTTATGGGGAGAGTAGTGAGTACGCAACTTTACCCCTACCTTGTGCAGGTAGAGAGGCTGTTTCCGATAGATCCTCAGCTCCAAGCAAACATGCAAAAATCACATCAGTATTTCTTTTGTTATCTGTTCTGTTAAATGTTGTCTACATAATAATCTGAAAATTGCTTCGAAGGGGGTGACCTAGCTGTCGAATAGATGGAGTAACAATCTCAATTATTCCTATTTGCTCAAGTCTTGATGGGTAAAGTTACCCAACATCTGTGCAAATGATAGGTGACAAGTACCCGGTGGTTTAGTCGAAGTGCACGCAAGTTTGTCCAAATACCATCGTCATAAAAGAAAAAAAAAACTTAAATTATCTGAAAATTGTCCTGCATTTAACTGACTGAGCTCATGGATTGGTTTATGTGCTAATAAGTTTCGACGCACTGAACTTCAGCCAGGACCCAAAAGATGTTAGTGTATAATAGTTTAGCTTTATAGTTAGGACTTTGGCTTCTGTTGACTATTCAGTTGATGCAGATTTTTGGGCTCAAGACGCTAGTCCGGAGCTTTTTGCCCCATCAAAGTGCAGCTGTCAGTCGTCCAATTAACTTTTTACTGGATATTATACTGGAAATGCTTCAGAAGGGTGATTTTTATGATGGTAGTATCTCAAGGTAGGGATGATTATTGTCAATATGTCTAATTAGATGTTTATGAGTATATGAGATTCTGCTTCTTTGAGCATACTAGAGAGTCCTCGACAGTTGGGTAATGTTAGATTCCTGGTGACTTGTGAATGAAAATTTCGTTGTTAGTGGCTTGTACATTAGCCTGAAAAACTTAAGGAATTGGGCACTACCCAATACTAATACAGAAACTGTAAGATAAGTAATGGTCTTACCGATGTCTCCACTTAATGATGTGGAAGAGGGTGAATACTGAATCTCCATGCTCAAGGACCAACATACTTGTAAGCTGTAAGGCTCTTATATGCTCTGACAGTATGTAGTTTAGATTCATGGTTTACCTCCGAGCAGATGTAACCACTTAGGTTGAAAACAATTCTAGCATGGAGTCACTATCCATGAAGCACTGCACAAGATTTAAGGCTATGCGACACTGTATACACTATTTGTTTATGTCTTCTTTTATATTTTATATTTTTGGACATCCTTGTCGCATAAAATGGACACAGGTAACTATTCTGGGACACCAAATTGACCTGATGAAATCTAGACTAATTACTTTGGGCCTTAGCGTGACAAATATTACTTCCAGAAATAAAAAGGATAGTCCCAGAATATCGCATAAAACTCCAGCAACTAGCCTAAGCCTCCGTTCTTCTTCGCTTCTTCTTTCTTTCATTTTTTGTTCCCTTAGGGTGAGTGGGTGTATACTATATGCAGTATTCCCCTCGTTTTCTGCAAAGAGACTATTTCCACACCTAAAACCTGTGACCTGTAGGTCTCTAAGGAAGAAACTCTACCGTTGTGCGCAGGCTTGCCCTTTTTGCTTGCAGTTGCCTCCTGGCAAAAAATGTTTGGACCTACTTTACCACTTAGTAGATTCTATGCTGCTTATACTTCAGACAAGCAGAAGGTATTGCAGGTCAATTATGTACTTCTTATAGATAACATGCTTGCAACATTGTAGCTTGCAAGAAAATAAAACCAGAACAAATGAAAGGTGGAAACTAAATGTATTCTCTGTTTCAAAACATTTTTGCCGCAGGTGATATCTTCTTTGTTGTGTTTGTGACACTTGCAATGTCTTATTTATCCGTTATCTTTTTAGCAGTGATTCTGACAAGGCTCATATTAGATTAGCTGCTGCAAAGTCCGTTCTTCAGCTCTCAAGAAGGTGGGATTCACTCATTTCACCACAACTTTTCCGCTGCACCGTTTTGACGGCCAAGGTTAGAAGAGATCCAGTCTGAAGTAATCCTTTTGTAATTGCTTACAAATTCTAGCAACTCACTGGCCAAAGAGATGCAAAGTTTGAGATTCAACAAGTTTTATATTTGTGAAGGTCTTATCCAGTGCATAATTGATAAGTAACAGTTGGATTATATAATATAGAACCATACCTCTTGTTTACTTGTTGTTCTGGCGTTTAGGTTCTGCCAAGGCATTATACGTTTATAGTTTATTACCTTGTCACTGTTACAATCAGCAGAATTGTGTCATTTTCTCATGTTGTCTTTCTTCTTTATGATATTGGCCAAGCGTAATGTATGTTGATGTAGAGTAATGGTTAGTTTTGCAAATAGAATGGATTTCTCTTGTAATATTATTTTTCTGGTAAGAGGACTTTGATGACTGAGAGCCTCGATTCATAGGAGATAATTCAGTTTCATTTCCTGTAGTTAAACTTGGTGGAGAATAAATGAGAAAAAAGTAATAAAATTTTCGAAAAGGAACAAAAGAAGTTGCTCCCTCCTTTTCAATTTATGTGTCTTAGTTTGACAGGGCACGGAGTTTAAGAAAGCAAGGAAGACCTTTAAATCTTGTTGTCTTAAACTAAAGATGTATGTTATGTATCAAGATGTCCTTGAATCTTGTGGTCTTAAATATGCCATGTGGAAAGTTGGAGTTTAAGAGTCACTAAATATAGAAAAAGAGGCATTCTTTTTGAAACAAACTAAAAGTAAGACACATAAATTGAAATGGAGGTAGTAAGAACTAAAGAGTTGATAGTTTTGTTGAGTGAGGGGAGTTCTTACACTGGATGATTTGGACTACTATATGGTGTAAGTTGGGTTTCTTGCTGTGAAAGTATAGCTTCTTAAATTTAGTTGATTAGTGTTTAATATTTGATGCCATTGTTTGGTATGTTATATCATGTATAAGGTAGCCAATCCAGACAAAGCTCATGATATGGACTCTGCTAAATGGCGCACTAATTCCCTTTCCTTAGTTTGTTTTACATTTTCAAGCTTGCCTTGTTTTATTTTCTTTTCTGCCATGCTTGAGAGAATCAACTTTAGCTAAGGTCGAACCATCATAAATTTTCCTGATATTCATTGTAGCAAGAATTTGACCTGATGAATTGAAAGCCTATGTAGATATAAGTTAACATTGATAATAGCTTGCGTTTGAGTTTCACTTTTGTAATATTCGAAGTTTGTGATCCTGGATTCCTATAACTTGGTGATAGGATAATTCTCCTCCAGTACAGAGACTGTTTGTTAAGAAGGTGCAAAAGCTTTTGAAGGAGCATAAGATCCCTTGTAGATATGCATGTGCATTTCCATTTGCTGCCACAGACTCTCCAAAAGATCTACAACAAATTGTAGGTTTTTTTTTAAAATCTTAGTGGTTTGTTTGTTGTCAGATTATTTGCGCTCTCCTGACATAACCCTTTTTTTAGTCTTTGAAGTACATGGAAGAATTTGTACAGGAATATGGAAATACAGCAAGAATAAATCAAATATCTACAATGCCTGGACATGTGACTGGTCTTCCTGTTTACGTAGTGGTTTTCGTGATCCACATCCTAGCTCATGATCCAAATTTTCCCACTGCTGATCACCATGATGCCAACTTCTGTGCTCAGTTTTTCAGGTTAGTGTTTACTCATCAGTTGTGTCTTTAAACACCTCTTCCTTTTCTTACTATCCCTTTGGGGCCAGTCCACTTGTTTTCAGCTTGCAGGTGTTGGTTGATTTTAATTGCTCTGATGGCACTGTAGACCTCATTAGTAAAGCTATTTCATACTTGAGAAGCATCTTCCATGCTATAAAAAAAGCAGAGGATGCTGTTGATGCACAAATTACACCAGTCAGTGTTTTGGTCTTGATATTGATGCTAGTTCCTTATTCTTAAATGTAGTAGTGTTGATTCATGAGAGAGTTTGTCATATTGCAGAAGCTTCATGTTTTGTCAGATATTGGGATTTCTTTGTTGGATGCAATAGGTAACACAAGCTTCTCTCATTCACATATCCCTGGACTTATTTTGCTACCATCTTCACTGTATAAAGTGGGTCAAAACCATATTAGTCAGGCAAGTTCTACAATTTATTTTCTTTTGGCATGCAGCATTTGGTTTGACTATTTTTTGTTTTATTTACACCTCTCTTCTTTTCTTTTGCAGGGAAACAGTGATCTTTTAATTCGTTATCACCAAGATGAAAGTTTCATTAGGAAATTACTTGATAGTTCAAAAAATAAAACTCAAGTACATTCCTTTATCCCCTCCATTGATTTTTATAAGTTGTCACTGGAAGTGCATGACCGATTTTGTTCTCATTGTTCTTCCTGTGATATCTCAGACTGCTGGCTCCATCAGTGTACAAAACCAAAAATGTCAAGATGGTATGACCCGGTCAGGTAACAGTGGAGGCAGCAAATTGGAAATGCAATTTTGCAAAAAGGGACCTCTTCCGTTGAGCATCATAAAAGAGAAATATTCAGATAAGGAGGAGTTAAGTGAAACTTCAAACCAAGAGCTCGATACTAGAGAAAGACAAAAAGCATCTGAACCATGTTCAGCTTCTGCATCATTTGAATTACATAAGGAGTTTTCGATTGACGATGAACATGAAGATGATGCACATGGAACCACTGAAGCAGTGGTTAGAACTGAGCATCTTCCATATCATTCAAGAACTCGCAGTTCACGACCCTTGTCTGATAAGACGGATGAACATCCATGTTCTCTAAAAGAAAAAGACACAATCTCAAGATGTAAAACCATAATGCGTGAGCGTTCCAAATCCGCGAAAGGCAACAGCTCAGATATCTCCATCTCAAAGGTATATCCTATCAAATCTTTCAGCTTTTTCAATCAGATCTTCTTGCTCAAACTTATGAATATGTAGGAAAGCAAAAATAAAGGTGAAAAGTTAATCAGGCAGCAAATAGAACTGTGCTCTTCCGAAGATAAATGGTGAGAATCGCTTTGATATTTGTATATTTTATAACATTCACTTTTCATGACATGTATGTTCTTTCAATGATGTAGTTGTTCTGGAAGCACAGAGGCTTTCGATTCTAGCAACAACACTCTCAAGGTCAGTCAGAAGATTGCTAAATATAAGAGATGTCTTCAATGATGTATAGAAAATGTTATATCTGTTTGTTGCTTGTTTCCCTGTAACATAAATAGTCAAAAATGAAGAACCTTCTCTGGGTATATTAGGAGGAAAAGTTTCCTGGTTTCTATCAGCATTCTCAACCAGTGTCGCTTCTACTTTTGGTCTAATTCTGTTAAGGAGGGCCCTAAAAAGACTGAGCTTTGCAAGTTTGCTGTTACGACTGTTTTATTAAGCTTATGAAAGTAGGTGGATGAATGCCAAACAAAAAGCTTAACAGGATTCGCCTAAGTTTCTTAGCTATATAAGGTCTGGTACAAGGAGGCTTTTGCTGATTTTGTAGAATTGGAGGGACCTGTAATTTAAGATGAATTCATAGATGTGTGATGCCAAGCACTGTAAAGGAAATGTTATATAGCTGGGCCGGTTTCCGTAGAAGAAGAAAGCAAAAGCGTGGAAGTTCGCCGCTCTCATGTGGATAGTTTGGGGGGAGAGAAATAGGAGAGCTTTTGAGGGGATTGAGTCTCCTTTTTCACATCTTAAGAATAGTCTTTTGTCTTTGATCGCTTTTTGGTGCACTCATATAGCCCCTACTTGTATAGAAGATTGGGCGTCATTTGTAGAGAATCATGTTCTGGTGTAAATTTTCTGCTTTTTGGTATACTTCTTGTATACGGGAGTTTTCTCCCTTTTGATTAAATACAATTTACCTTATCAAAAAAAAGAAGAAGATGAGTTCATAGATTGCAATGCAACTGTTTTTAGCAGATAGTCAGCAGAGAAGATAATTAGCTAGACAAAATATGTTAGGTGAAACGGATTCTAATTGTATTTAGGTGAGGTGGCTCTGGATTGTAGGCTAGGTTTACGTGTTGTTGCTAGAGTTAGACAGTTGATATAATCAAGTTTTGGATTCTTCTGAGAAAGTATAATTGGCTTCGGAGGTCTTCCAATTGGCAAAATAAAAGAAAATCTATTCTTGACATGATTAAGGTTAAGTACTTTTGCATTCCCATAGACTTCTTTCTGAAAAGGGACTTCAGTCCTCAGTGCCACCTAGAAAGTGGGTTGTAGATCAAACAATGGGCCCTCCTCAGTCCACCTTCCCCTTATCACAGAATTCACCACCATATAGCCTACTGGATCCATAAGAGAAAAGGAAAGCTGAAATCAAAAAGAAAGAAGAGAAATTAGGCCATCTTTCACGAGAGAGGCCACCTCTCTCAGGCCGGGTTCCTGACAACGCTGTTAGTTTCTTTTTTGAGATGAAAAGTTCCCCGGGCCTAGCAAGCACTTGCTCTAACAAAAAACAAGACTACTAAGGAAGCAAAAAAAAAAAAAAGAAGAAGAAAAAAGAACTACTCCTATATCTAATTAGTCAAGCACTCACAAGCAAGAAAACAGATTTGCTACCTCATGTCTTAGGAAAATAGTAAATTCTACTTTATTACTCTTTGTGTATGAGAGAATTGATTTATTTAAGGTTTTTGGCTTCTGAGCTTGGTAACATGTCAGTACAATATTAGAGCTCATAATGCTTTTCCTTTTTTTGGCGATAGATTGTGGGACTTATGTTCACTTGTAATGAGCTAATTGTTGTTGGATTATCATGGGGAAAGAGGGAGTGTAACAGATCCGTGTATCTTGAGATAGAATTATATTTGCTATAACCAAATTATTACTCTATACTATCTGTTCACTTAGTCGCGGACATTGGGTTGCATTCACTCCTGAAAGGCTTTCTCCCACAAGTTGAAGTATATTTGACACCCAGATACCTAGGAGAAAATTGTATTTGCTATTAGTTAACAATGGAAATTTGCACGTGTAGATCACCTATGACAGCAGGGAAGCTGAGGTTGTCAGTTTGGATAGTGAGATTTTGGGGACGTTAAGTAGCCATTCCTTGCTTGACCAGGTATACTAGCATCTTCAAATGCTCAATTTATCCGGACACAGATGTAGCTTTCATGTTTTTGCTTTAAGAAGCAAACCTTGAATAGAAGATCTATTTTTTTAATAAATAAACCTTGAACGGAAGATCTAAGAAATAATATATAATGCAACAGAGTTTAATGAGCTATCACCATCTCTACTTGATCTTTTCCTAAATTTGAGCAAATAGGTTAATAAACAACACTGAATATAGCAAAAGGTTTTTGTAGAGTTCATGTAAGGTAGACTTGCAAAGTGGTGCATTAGCATGCTATTTAAGACTTAGAATCTTTATTGTAAAAATTAAGAATTGTAAGGACCTTAAATGTCAATTACAAATGAGAGTGAAAAAAACTAGAGAAAAGTGGGGAAAAATAGTAGTGCTTGGTGACTATCTAATCTGCTAAATACAAGATAGAATGCTGGTGACATTGTTTCTGAATGTTTCCTTTGCTCTTCAACCTTTGGATTTGACTGTAATTTCTGCTTCTGCCAATAACTAGCTTATTTGCTCGTAACCCAACATCCTAATTGAAGTTTTCCTTCCGAGTATTTTGAAATTAATTGCTATATACTTATGAAAAATATTAAATACTCTCATGCTTAACTCAAAAGAGTGTCTAAAACTCAGACATGAATTAGAAACTTTACTTTTTTGTTGCCCTTGCTTCCATTCCCACAACATAAATCTCGATTGTATTACCTTTCTTAAAGGCCTAACATTTTGTCTTGCATTGTGGTCAACAAGTTTAACTTTTCATTGAGTTATTACCAAAGCAGTTTGCTTATTTCCGTGATTTGATAGTAAAAAGAATATTCGCCTCTGCCTAAAGATTTTTGAAAATTTTGTTTCACTTTAACCCATACCTGAATTAGGATTTTATTGATTCTCAATTGAAGATTCTTTTTCACTCCAATCACCGTAATCACATTGTCATATCGAGTTTTTCTCCATTTTCTGTACCTTATTATTTTTTTAGTATTACGATCTGGTCAATATGGTTTGGTCCCTAATGCTGAGCTAATAATGCAGGATTCCTGTGGTCTGCAATCACGGTGCTGGTGCGCTGTTACTTCTTTCTTAATATCAATGGGGAGAAGGATTAAGTGATGCATTGCATTTTTTTTGGAGAAAAAAAAGTCATTTGACTTGTTAATTGCACTCAGCTTTAAGTCAGGAACGTAATTGCTTGCTATTAGTGTTCTTCCTTTTCCTAACTAAAAGAAGCATGCTACAGGGGAAGCATCACCTACTTACCTTGCTCTCTTGATGAATAGCACCTGTAAAATTAACTGTATGAACTAATATACATCAGGTTGTAAAATTGAACAATATCTTTTTGAACACAATAATTTCACAAAAGCATCATAAAAATACATACTTTATGCAGAAGGCACAGTCATAACATTAGCCAACTGGGAAAGCTTTTTTAATGAACTCTAATTATTTTCACTTTGACGCTAAATTCTTCGAGATTCTAATAAGGATTGTTTTGGCCTGCATGGTAGTCACTTTAACATGTCAGTGGTACTACCCTTTCACTTTAACATCTCAGTGGTACTTACCTTAATTTAGGAGTTCATCTTACAAAACCAGGTAGATGAAGCATCATAATTTAGGGGTTCATCTTACAAAACCAGGTAGATGAACCATTCACACAAATAAGTCTTATGTAAACTTTATCAAAAATAAGTCTTATGTAAATTTCCTTGGATTTGGATGTCTTGGCATGCATTTTGCATAATCTTAATCAGGATTGCATTAGCATCTGGATCCTGGGTTTCACTTGAATGTAGGACGATCTGTCTGCTGGGCTGCACTTGGGTCCATTAGAATAGACCCTCACTGCAAAAACTATGGAGCTTGTGTGCTGCTGGGTTAAGATTGTCAAACATATTACTGTATTACGTAGAAAGGGTAAAAATAGATGAAACATAGACATTCATCTATCCTCACTCTTTCACTTCTCTCCTTTAAAATGGTATTCATTTGTTAGTCATGCAAAACATGTTCACACTGCTATTCATGCATGTGCTCATGCAGCATCCATTGTTGTTCTCATATTATGGTTCAGTTCCACATTTTTGTTCCGTAGTGGATGCTATGACCTGTAAAAGCTGTAGTGATAATAAGAAGTGCTCTTCTTTTGATAATCCTAGGAAAAGTAGTGACATGATTGGATATGTCTGTCAACAAGAAGATGACTTGTCAAAGGATGAAGCTACTTTTGGTAGTAAAAAGACTGCTTTTGCTGGTAAAGATCTTACCTTTGTTTTGTTGTTTCTTTCCTTTAACTTTGCAGATTTGTCCACAGTGAATACTAAGCTTGATCCAATTAGAAGAAGCATTACTAGGTTTTCTGTTATACTTGAGTTTCTTTCTGTGATGTGAGAGCTTTACTAGTATTATTTTCTCTGTTTATTTCCTCAAGTCAATTTTTCTTTTTTCTCTTTTTTTTTCTTTTTAAAAAACTTTTTTGCTTGAGTTGTGCTCTCTTGTTGGATACAGCAGCTTTCACAAGTGTTAGGCTTTCCTATTTATCCGTTCAGTTTTATCTCCATGTGCCATCTTCTTTCTTTCTTCAACTCTGGTTAATTTTGCTTCAATTTTAAAGCTGGTTTTGCCTTGTTCCTTAAATGGAGCTAGGCAACAAGTCATGAGGCCATGTATAGACTTGAGACTATAGAGGAGGCATCCTATTTAAGTTAGAGTTCCGAGCATAAGTTTTATGATTTTCTTGCTAAAAAAATTGTTACTATTAATGCAGCTGCACCCTCTAATTATTAAACTTGATTAATAGCTTTGTTGACGAGAAACAAAAATCATTAACGTTGATGGTAGTGAAGCAAAATCTTAGTATGGGTGTAAATCTTCATCTATTTGTATGAATTTCCTTCAGCAAAGGTTTTGAGTTTTATTGCTGGTGGATTTTGAAGAGCAGGTCTGACTTAACTTGTGTTCTATATTCTTGTCATTTTCTACCGCAGAAATAAAGAAGCGGGGTAGTGTTCTTGTTGACTCATCACTTTCTGAAGTCATTGATGTGAATGAGGACCCCGTAAGATTCTTCTTTTTATTTCAGTTTCCTTTTAGCGCATCTTATTCTTTTTTGTTTCCTTTTACCTCAGATGATTGTAGCTATATCTGAAAGAAAAATAGTACAAATCAAATTCTTGTCACCTGTATTGGGTTGAACGGTTGTTATTTCCCTCTTTAACAGAATTGCTTTTTATGCTGACATTTTTGAAGAGCCACTTGGTCTCACCTTCCAGCCACAAACTCTTTTTTATTTATTTGTACCCCTGTTTCTGTAGAAGCTTTTTGGACATGCTTATCAGGAAAAAAAATAGAAAAGAGAAGAAGTAGCTTTAGAGCTAGGTCCTGGCGTCCTGCTAGGTCCTTTCTCAAAATAATTGACAGAGTTATAGAGATATGGCTTGAAGAAGGCATGGTACAACGTTCTAATTAATCATAGGTCAGACATTGTAACTAATAAATTAATCTGTTTAAACTTGGAAGTATTTAGACAAACTGATGTCGATATCATGTGAGTTCACAGTTGTAGAGATTAGCAACTTGCCGATAAGCATGTTGAAGAGTCAAAAAGTATCATTGGCACTATGTGGATGTGCTTAAGGTCTCTTAGTCTTAGCTTTTATGTATAATACTGTGTCAATTATTGCACCGTAAATTGCTTATTTAACACAGTTGCTTTGTTTTTTCAGTAATTTCTTGCTCCACAAAATACCTTTTATTTGTAGTTAAACATTGTTCGGGATCAAGACGTTATCCTCTATCAGTTGATTGCCAAACTTATTTGGTTTATGCTTTCCGTCAATGTTGTTTCCTCCTGTTGGCTAAATTTGTTTCTTGGATGCATGACAGATTGCCCGAAGGACTCGAAGTCGGAGAGTTTGAATATGTTTTACAAAGATAAGCTAAGGGCTACCTTGTTAGTAATTTTTGTTTTTGGACATTGACCATCTCAGAGCAGGCAAGCATGCTTGATTTATTACATCAAGTTTCATCAGTAATCCTCTAGCAAATAGCTGTCTTCGGGCAGGAGTTGAGGATTGGATTTTGTTATTGTTAAAATGAGATGCTTTGATTAAGTTAGTGTTTAGATGGTGCAACTCCAACCCCTGTATGGTCGCTGTAAATATTGAATATGTCAATCTGACAAGCTTGCTAGTGTCAAGCTGTTGATGGGTCTTCTCATACAAGTGAAGAAACTTTCTGATCCCAACTATTGAAGTATATTTAGAAAATTTACCGATAGCTATCTTAATGTATGCCATTATGATTTCATGAAGATTCAATGACATTCTCTAGTCTGTAAATCTGTTGGCTTGATTGAACTGCTTATCACTAGTTCATGTAAAGATACATACTCTATCGAACGGAGTATGTTTGTTTGTTTCACAAAATTTTTGTTTGATTCATGTTGAGGTTAAAAGAACCACTATTTTAATCCTAATATATCTTAAAGTTGAATTATTTATAAGCAAAATTAGTATTGGAATGAATTGCGTCATGACAAATTGGAATGCCTTAGGTTGTCTCTTGCTTTGTTCGGCCTGAAGCAGAGTTGATTGATTAAGTTGATTTTTGGGCAAAATATAAAATTGGTCGGTTGGCAGAAATTAATTGCATTCGCTAGGCAAAAAATATATAAAATATGTATATATTTTGCAGATAATATACATATATAGAAAAATATATATTTTGTTAGCTATTATTTTTTAAAAGCCGTTTAAAATATACATTTCTCTCTATTCTTTCCTTGTAAATCATATCTCAAATTTAGATACAACTAGTTTGGACTTGACGTGAATTGAACAATAGTTAGTGCTACTAATTTACTCTGTTTATTTGGTTGATAACTTAAGAACTACTATGTCATGTACTGCACCGTCCCCCCTCCCAGACCTTGCATTTCATCGGGAATGGACTTTCAGCCGCTATGACTGACAAGTTTTAATTGAGGATATGCACATATGACAAGGAAATAGGGGTATAGTATAGAAATTAAAACGTTGCCTAAAAGAGTGACAACTTAGATGCCGTTCTGTTGGACTCCTTCCTCTCATTTGCATTATACGTGGTAAAACCAATTAAAAAACAAGATTATGATTAAGATTAAAAAGCAATCCTAGTTGCTTATTGCTTGGCAATATAATCTAGAAATTATGCTTTGGGAGTACGCTCTTAATTTAATTGTAAACTTGTGATTGTTGATTCAGTGTAATAAAAGTTTTTGTCTGAGTTCAAAAAAAAAAAAAGGCGAGATTGAGATTATACACTAATAATTTGTCCAATGCCATCGACCACAGATATGATAGATGATTTTACGTCATGCTGTGAACAACTTTAGGTTTTGTCCCGTTCTTCTTTGCTACGGCCATTTTACTAGTTTACCATATCGCACCTAAGGGTATTCAAGGAAAAAAAGAAACAGAAATGTTCGGGACCCCCTGAACTTGGCAACTTTTGTTTAGTTCCCCTTTAAACTTTACGTGATTTTTAATACCCTCCTGAACTTAGAATTTTGATAGTCTTGACCCTTTAGATGTTGATGTGACATACAACGTGAATACAATCTCTTTTAGGCTCGTGGAAGGAAAGAAAAATCGAAAAATCAGCTTTCAAGTGTGGTATTTTACAAATATTAATTGCTACATAATCAAATAATATAATTTACTTGTTCCTTTTTTTTTTTGGTAATAAAAGACGATATTGCATTAATTAAAATATAACATGTTACATAATGGTGTCACACCTCCTTTTTTACACCCCGTCTCGAAGGGTAGTATATAAGGGAGTTTTTCCAATTAAAGTGACATTATTCGAAATGGGATTATTTTATTTAATTTATCAGAGTCGCCACTTGGAATAATTTATTTGGTGTCCCAAGCCACCGGTTTATTTTAAATCCCAAATCGAGGAAGTTTCGACTTTATTTTAAAAGTCTGCGAACCAGAGATTCTAAGTAAGGAATTCTGTTAACCCGGGAGAAGGTGTTAGGCATTCCCGGGTTCCGTGGTTCTAGCACGGTTTCTTAGTGATTATTACTTGGCTTAAATTGTTTAACTACTCATTTTTAGGACCTATGTGCATTTATCTTTTTACCGCTTTTAAATCACTTGAATTATTCGTAATTAAAGAATTGAGTTACGCGTACGTATACTCTTTTCTTTTGGCGCGTCAAAATCATGTCACGCGAACGTGTCCACGATTAGTAACGCTTTGTTTATTTATTACGAAAATTTGGTTGAAGTTGCGCGAACGCATACCTCGAGTTATTCCAAAGGGCTTTACTCAACCAAAACAAACTACGGATGTTCAAGATTGTCTCCTAAAACTAATTTTGATATTATTGCAAAGGCCGAGGGTTAAGAAAATTAATTAACTACGAAAGCCATGGAAAACTATCAGATGTTCTAGCTCTCCCATCGGTTAAAAGGTAGAGCAATTGGCATGGGTTTGCTAAATTGGAAGTCCAAGGCTCTAAATTCAAAAATAAAAATATAACCAAATGAAGCAACAGTAAATATGAAACAACAACTTAACAGAATCAACTTTTTGTTTTCTTTCTTTCAAAGCTTAATTCAATACCATGAAATTCACGAATTCAGACTCCATTCTAATGTTTTACAAAATACTTCTTTTTTTTTTCTGCTAAAAATTATTACAGGTCCCAATTGATTTCTTCCATCATGACATAAGTACGCAGTTATTATTGTATCGGCCCAAAACCTCGCTAATTGATCTTTACGGTGCTTCCTCTATCTCTATCAATTAAAGCCTTATATCCATAGAAAAAAGTTGCTAGGCATTTTTAGTTTTTCCTATTTTGACTTCTATGAAGTTTCTTTCTTTGCTATAAAAAAAAAAACCTTGTTTTGGGCCTATTAGCAGGCCTAATAATTTAGAGCATTCTTGGAGTGTGGATTCACATTACACATGATTACATTTCCAAATGAATGAATAGAACACCTCACTGAATTTGAGTTACGAAGTACATATATCACTAATTAATAAATGCATCCGAACACTGTTTCTAGAAATGTGCCTTCTCTTATTGTTGTCTACCAATAACAGAAAAACTTGTCTTAAATTTGTGGGATTCCAAATCAAACCAATTATTAGCCAAATCTGTGGCTCTTTGCCCATGATTAACTCAAATAAGTTCCGTATGATAGAAATTCAATATTAATAAATAACTGCTAGTGAAGAAAATGTAATGTTTTATAACATCAATTTAACTGAGTCCATAATTGTTGCCTTAAGGTGACATAATCCGTAGGTTTGCAAGACATAAAGAATAAAAATATATAAAAAAAAAAAACATAGGAGCATTTTCTATTCTAGGCAAATAAACATTCAACAACTAATTTGCATTGATTCATATCTAGATTACAATTTTGAGAGTTGAGTTGTACCTGGGTATGTGAAGAAAAGAAAAATGAAGCAACGGAAGGAGCTAGCATTCAGCAACAGAGAAATAGCAAATTGGCAAAGACTCAAGTGACTTCAATTTCAAATTCAATCCATAATCCATGATAAACCATACAAGAAGAAGCTGATTTCGAAATCAATTTTTTTTCACTCTTCCTTTAGAAATTCAGATTCTGCTTTTGTTTGTTTTCCTTCAAGCTTTTGTTATTGTTCATCTTCATTTCCACATACGGGTGTGTGTGTGAAGAAGAAAAGCGGCAATGGGGTGGTCCGGCGTTGGTGTTTAGAAAATCAAGCTGAAGAAGATCAGGGTGCGCCGTTGGTGTCTTCAAAGAGAAGGGGAGCTCTATTAGGTCTATCATCTGATCTTTTTTTTGTGCCTTAGCTCCCCTTTTATGTAATGCTGTATCCTGGGCCGGGCCCGGGCTTAAATGGGCCAAACAGGCCCGGGCTCAGACGGGCTGGTCTTTGGTGGCCTAACGGTCCCGGACTTCACGGGCTCAACGGGTGGAACCGGCCCACGACGGGCCTAAGCCCACATGGTCCCAGGCTAAATGGGCCGGGCCCACGGGCCCACACGGACCTAACGGGCTTTTTCTTTTCGGGCTATTTTTTTTAATTTTTTTTTATTTAAGGCAATTTCTTGTAAACCATATATGTATATACTAATATAAATTGCTTATACATGGCTATATAAATATATATAGTATATATAATATGTATAGTATGTATATATAATTATATATCAAAGTTTGCATTTAAAAAGTAAAATAACAAAATAATAGTAAAACTAAATTATCATGTATAATAAATTAATAACAAAGTAAAACATTATGCATAAATACGTCTAATAACTTTAAAATAAATATGTAGTATATATAGTATGTATATATGTAGTATATATATTGTATATATATATATATATATATATATATATATGTGTGTGTGTGTGTGTGTGTGTGTGTGTGTGTGTGTATAGTTTATATAGTATGTATACATGTAGTATATATATATATATATATATATAGTATGTTATGTATATATATTTCCTTATATAATTTCTTGTAATGTCTTGTAGTATATATAGTATGTTAGTATATTATAGCTTATATAGAATTGCAAGTTAAAGACAAAAAAATATTGCAAAGAGATATTCAAGGGAATGTCTTATAATTTTTATTAACAAAAATGGCATATCTTTCTTAGTCTTC